GGGGGGGGAGGGGGGGGGGCCGGCGGAAGTCACGGCACGCGGGGGGAGGGCGGGCGGGGAGCCGGGTGTGGCACGCACAGCCGAGCAACGCTCAGATAGTCGAGGATGCGCTTGAGGTGCTTCTCCGAGGCCAAATGGTAGGCCACGCGCGTCGGGGGGAAGAACGACCGACGCAGGTGCTCGAAGAGCGGGCGCCAGGGAAGCACCAGGCGCAGGGGCTGGAGCAGACCCGGGGCCAGGGAGCTCGACTTCCTGCGGAGAGACATCCGCGCGCAGGGCCAAAGAGTCAGTCAACCGGTCCGCGCCGGGGCGACAGAGCAGACACAGACCAAGAGAGAGAGAGAGAGAGAGAAGCAAACGCGCGGCAGGGAGCCGAGCAAAGGGGGGGCGGCGCACTTGAGCAGACGAAGCAGAAGCGTGGCCACGGCCGACTGGGTGGCCGAGTCGAGGCCCGGATACACGAGCACCTCATGCAGGAGGGTGATGATGCGGGCGCGCTCGGTCGGCGAGATCAGGTACTTGAGGTTCAGGTACCTGCACAGCAGCCCCCGGGCGGCGGGGCAATGTCAGACAGCGTGGCTGGGAGGGCGGCCGGCGGGGGAGCACGCGAAAAGGGCGACACCAAAGGGAGGCAACGGACTGGTTGACCGAACGGCAGGCGGCGCCGATGGACCGCGAGGACGGCGCGAGGGCCGCCTCGGCCAGCAGGCCGACGATGGCACGGAAGCGCTCCTCCGCTTCGGCCTCCAGACGATCATGGTCCAGCGGCAGATTGAAGTTGTAGATGTCCACCCGGCTGGCCGGCGGCTGGGACCCGGGCAGCTGGGACACGTCCGTCGGCTCGGGGAGGACCGACGACGCGGGCGGGGCCCGGACAAGGGACATCGGAGCGCGGGGAGGGGGAGCGGGAGTGCTCGGCCGCGCAGGGACGCGCACGGGCAGAAGGACAGGCGGGGGGGGGGGGGGGGGGGGAAGAGGACAAAGAGGCGAGTCCTCGCGGAGGCTGGCCGAGCGTCGGGAGCGGGACAGCGAGTGGAGGGCAGGCGGAGGGCGGGAGAGACAGGCAGACCAGGGGGAAGGAAGCTATCAACAGGGAGCGGAGGGGGAGGGGGGGGGGGAGGGGAAGGGGGTACGGTCGGCCCGGGTTGGCATTCTGCATGGCCGGTCTTTTAGATCGGCCCCCGGGAGCGCCCGGTCGCGACCGGGGCACCGGCGGAGCTGTCATGACTGGCCCGGGCGCGCGGCCGGCCCTGCTGGGTATGCGTCCCCCCGCCGGGCCCATGATTTCTCGGGCCCCGCCGCAGCCCGGCCCGCGCCGCCGGGAGACCGAGAAGCGCCACCCCCAGCCCCAGCTGGCAAACTGCCACCCCGCCGATGCGCCCCGGAGGGGGGAGGACACGCGCCGCCGCGCCCGGGAAGGACCGGCGGCGTGGCAGGACGCGAATTGCGTCAACCGAGCCCGTCTTCTGGAACCTCCCACCGGAGGCACCGGGCGCCCGGCGAGCCCCGCACACACACACACACACACACACACACACACACACACACACACACACACACACACACACACACACCGGAGCGACGACACGGCCCTCGCCCCCGGCCTGCCCTCTTCTTCCGCGGTTCCGGCCGCGACAAGGCCAGCACGCCGGGCGGGCGGCCGCCTGCCCGCCTCTCGGCCCCCCCCCCCTCCGGCCGGGCGACAGCTATCGCTGTCCTCGACCCGAGCCCCACCAACCTGTTCCTCCCCTCCCCCCCCCCTCGCTGTCCCATGTGTCCCCGGAGAGCTCCCAGCGCCCGCCACCTGGCCGGTGCCAGGCCCTTTACCAGGAATGCCGTCCCCTCCGCCTCCCGACAAGCGAAGCCCCCCCCCCCCCCCCCCCCCCCCCCCCCCCCCCCCCCCCCCGCCCCACCCCTAGACGCTACCCGGCGGCGACAGCAGACTGCCAGCGCACTCGCGCGCCGCAGTGCCACCGGTCGGCCGCGCTGCCCCGCCCGCGCTGTAGTGGAATCCCCATGTAAACGATAGATGAAGCAACACGTGAGTGAATTGCCACACGTGTTACATCGTGGGAATGATAGCATCCCAGAACAGCATTCCTCGGAGAGGAATGCGGGGTAGAACAACAGCCAGGTGGCCGCCGAGGCCGAGCGGCATAAACGCTCGACCGAGGACGGAGATACGCGGGTGGGCGGGCCCAGCCGCGGGGTTCTCAGTTCCAACCCCTGACCGAGCCCAAAGGTCAAAAAGGGGGACTCTCGTTGAGAGCCTCCTGAGAGCGAAAGCCTTAGCAGCTGTGTGTCGAAGAGTATACGGAAGTATAGCCGAAGCACCAGTTAGGCCGACGAACACCTGTTCTAAGGCTTCCTCTCGAACCCTTTTTAACATCCGAGTTCCTTTCTATTTTCGCTTGCCACTAACTCGTCTCAAGCCGAGTTACTGACTCATCTGGTAACAGACGACCGTGAACCGCTGGTTGGTATGTCCCCTCCTTCATGCCAAGAGGTTACTAACCAGGTGGCAGATCACACTGGTACCCTTCGTCAAGCCTCACTCACTTGACTTAGGCTTAACCCGTGTGAACCCTGCTACACGCGCCTTTGCACCCCGGGAGGCCCGGCACTGGAAGGGTCTCGTGATATTATTTTGATTGTGGGTCGTCCACACGCGCACGGCGCTAGGTCCCCCTTTTCCGGGGGCGTTCCCCACCCGGGCCTGGGGGATGCCCGGACAGAGCCATCCCCCGCGCCTGGGCACGCGCGCGCGCGCACACACACACACACACGCGCGCGCGCAACAGGAAAGGGGGGGGGGGGCGCTTCGCCGCGGCCACCGGCCGGCGGCCAGCCGGTGCGCATCACATCTTGACCGGCGCATTAAACCGCTCGCCCGCCGGCGGCATGATCGTCGAGGACTCGGACAGGGCCTCCGGCGGGATCTGCTCCATGACCGTGCGGCGCTGGTGGATCTGCCTCGGGGGCGGAGTCACCTGCGGACCGGTGAAGAGCTTGCGCAGGATGAAGTACACGCCGCCGGCCGCCAGAAGCCCGGTCATGGCCACCACCGGCGTGGAGTTCCTCTCGCGGAAGCGGTTGACCCACATCCGCATGTTGCTGATGGGGTACTTGTAGAAGGGCGAGCTCATGGTGGCAGTAGTCGGGCGGAAGCACGGCGCGGGGCGTCGGGGCGGGGGGGGGGACAGCAGACGGGGCTGACGGCGGAGAGGCTGGATCCCGCAGGCGTCAAGGAGGGAGGAGGCGAATACTCTCACGGGACAGGGCGAAAAATGCCGAGGCCCCTCCGGCTTCCCGAGCCCCGGCAGGCCCTTTTTATATGCCCCCCGATCGGCGGCCCACGGCGGGGGCGAGGCGCAGATGCCCTGCATGCTCCGGTCGAGAGGAACGGACGGGGGGGG